TGGCTCACAGACATACATCCACACAAAACAATTCTCCATAAAACAAAAATAGAAAGAAAGAAAGAAAGAAAGAAAGAAAGAAAGAAAGAAAGAAAGAAAGGGAAAAAATATACCTAGCTCACGTTCTAGTTTAATTTTTTAATGATTTATTTATTTTATTTGCATTGGTGTTTTGCCTGCATTATGTCTGTGTGAGGGTATCGGAGTTACAGACCGTGGTGAGCTGCCATGTGGGGGCTGCGAATTGAAGCTGGGTCCTCTGGAAGAGTGGTCAATGCTTTTAACCACTAAGCATCACTCCGGCCCCTGTTTAATGGTTCTTGCTCACACTGCAAGCATTGTTGATATTTAATTCTCCTCCTCAAGTCTCCACTCAAGTGCCGAATATATTGTTTTAATATTTTCCTCATTCTCTTTCCTTTCTCCATTTCCAACCCATCGCACGCTGATGTACAAACTATCAGCCCTTGATTCTTTACCATGAATAAAGTACTAACTTAGCTTCAGGGAGACCCTGCCTCCTATCCTATCTGTTGCTCTGATAAACCCCATCATCAAGGCCTCTTACAGAATGAAGGGTTTATTTGAGCTTATGGTTCCAGAGGAATAAGTGCCCATCATGGCAGAAAGGCATAGCAGGAAGCAGGAGGCGTGGCAGCTAGAGCAGAGTGCTAAGAGCTCACCTCGTGAACCACAAGGACAAAACAGAGAGGACAAAGCGTGAGTATGTGTGGCCTTACGTTCGCAGAGTTCATCACCAGTGACATACTTTCTCTACCAAGGCTGTATCTCCTTAACTTCTCTCGAACAGTACTAGCTACCAACTGGGGAACCAAGAGTTCAAATGCCTGAGGCTACAAGGGACATTCTCATTCAAGCCACTACAATCTTCATACTGGAAAACAAATATAAAAATAGTGTCCAAAAATAAGAATTCAGGCTGGAGAAATGACTCAGTGGTTAAGATCATGTACTGGTCTACCAGAAGAGCCCACAGACAGACAGACAGACAGACACACACACACACACACACACACACACGTGCGCACAGATGCACAGACCACACACACAGACTCACACACACACACACAGATGCACAGACCAACAGACACACACATGCACAGAGACACACAGACATACTTTCAAATAATAATAAAGTTTCTTAAAATGCTTCACGAAAGTGTAGTCCACTGGAGACGTGGTCAGTCTGAAGATGTAGAAAGCAATAGGTTCCCCAAACCTTTTCCTCTGTGTAGCCAAAATATCCAGGCTTCCAGTAAAACACCTACAATCTTCTCAAGGCTTTATGGCCTTAGCAAAAAATGACTGCAAGTTCTCTTTCACACAGCTTCCTGCCTTGTGCAATAGACTCTGTTTAACGAGAGACTGTATCTGTTACATCTAATGTCTCTGGTAATTCGTTTAAAAACGAATACAAAGCAGTGCCCTAACAAACTAGATGTACATGTTTTCCTATAGAAAAGAAGCCCAGTGGGGCAGTTTAGAGATCCAGGCTCCCATTGCTCTGATCCACAATCTACAAGGTCAAGAAGCTGCTGTGACCCTACCACCAAACACAATTTAGTAACAAGAGAAATTGAAGATAGACTCCTATTGGTTAACTCAAAATGTGTTGATTTGGAGTTCTGATGTTGTTTTGAGAAATCTTTCTCAAATTTCTACCCAGACAGTTGCAGTTCTTCACAGTGGTTCTCAAGCCACAGAGCCCCAGCAGCACAGAAAGGGACTGAGGATTTGCTTTTCATTTAGACAGAAATCTTCCCACAGTTTAGGGCTCTGGTACCCAGAAAGGAGAGGAACAATGCTTAAAAGAAAATGGCAGTCCCTGCCACATGATAATTATAGATTCCCTTACAGTAATGGGATATTGGGAACAACTTAAATGGCCTGAGAAGTAATGGTTAAGCAAAACGTTTGTATATTAAGTTGATATTTAAAATATGGCTGCAAGCCGGGCAGTGGTGGCGCACACCTTTAATCCCAGCACTCGGGAGGCAGAGACAGACAGATCTCTGGGAGTTCGAGGCAGTCTGGTCTACAAGAGCTAGTTCCAGGACAGGCACCAAAGCTACAGAGAAACCCTGTCTCGAAAAAACAAAAAATAAAAAATAAAATAAAATATGGCTGCATATTTACTACTGAGGATGGAAATGGTCTAGGATACAGTTGCAAGCAAAAGAGAAAGAGAAAGAAAGAAAGAAAGAAAGAAAGAAAGAAAGAAAGAAAGAAAGAAAGAAAGAAAGAAAGAAAGAAAGAAAGAAAGGGGAAAGAAAGAAAGAAGAAAGAAAGAAGAAAGGAACGAAAGAAAAGAAAGAAGAAGAAAGAAAAAGATCACATATGTAACATCATATACCCAAGAACTTTTTTAACATAAGTGTTTATCCAAGCACTGGAGTTAGTAACATGAAATTTTACTCTCCCCCTTTTCATGTGCTTTCCATGTTTTACAATGTGCATACAGCATTTACATGATGACTGCAAAGACAAAGACCCTGGGGGCTTGGGAGAAGCCCAGCAGGTAGAGCCCTCACCACACGTACCTAAGGACTGGGGTTTGGATTCTCAGAACCCATAAAAGCTGGGTGGACATGAGGACTATCTTGTAATACCAGGGGACTGGCAGGGAGGACAAAGACAGGAGACCCCCACAGCAAGCTACCTAACCAAACTAGACGAGTCAGGAAGCTCGGGGTTCAACAAGAGAGCCTGCCTAAATAAGTAAGGGGGAGAGGATCAAGGAAGACGCTAGATATCAACCTCAGGCTTCTACATGCTTCTGTGTACACTTGCACATACACACATTACTCATACGCACACACACTCATCACACACACACACACACACACACACACACACGTCCAAAACAAACAAAAACCATCTTCAATAATTCAAAAACAGACCAGGCTGTAAAACTTGCAAACTATACGTCAGACTTCAGCCCTTGGGTTTTGTGAGCTGCCCAGTAGACACCATCTTCATGGCAATAACACAAAGTGCACAGATGACTAGTCTTTAGTAACACGGAGACAAACGATGATGGGGATGATGGTTCCCTTTGAACCTTAAACCCCACGAATTTGAGCTGTGCATCAGCTCTGTTTCCTGGGAATTTTTAATGTGACCCTTGTAGAAGACAGAGGAGCCTCAGCCGAGGCTTCCTGCGTGCTATGTGCACACACACACACACACACACACACACACACACATATCTGAACTGCAGCCGTTCATTAGCCCCAGTAGGTTCCCGCCCCTTTCTCGTCTGGGGTAATCACACATTAGAATTTTCTACTGGACGATAAATGGAAGGTTTGAAATCGAAGTCTGCCTTTTCTACGAGTGTGACAGTAAGCCCTCGGCCTCCCTTCTTTTCTCTCTAAAATGGACAGGACGGTGACCTCTCTACAGTATCAGAGGACACCGAAAGAGGAAATGAAATCGCTGCCAGGGGTTGTGTTGCCAGATCGAAAGCAGCATGCACAATCCTGGGCACGCAGACTTACTACCAAATCCCAAGCTTATGCCGCAGGGGTGTGTTTCTCAGGCAGAGGCTGCCTGTCATCTTTGGGCCTGCCCACAGCAGCACCTGTAACCACAATGGCCTAACAGGTTGGTTGCTACTTTAAACGGCTGCAGGAAAAAAAAAAAAAAAAAAAAAAAAAAAGCAGGTGTTAGAAGGAAGAAAACGGGATTGCCACCACAAAGATGCATTGTGACAAAGGCAGCCAAAATGTCAGCATGTTCTTGGACTTGGTGAGTGAGCTTTAATTTGTCCCATAAACCGTACTGTACTGAACGATTTTTCAAAATAGACTTAAGTGTGATTTCTTTGAAATGTCAGTTCATAGATTTCACTAGTTCCAAACATCTGCAAACTAAGCACTTTAAACTTCTCACAGGCAGAAAAAGAAAAACCCAATAATTAAAAACTAATAAGCGGGGCATGGTGTTTGCACGCTTTTAACCCTAACTCTCTGTGAGCTTAAAAGCAGCCTAGTCTACATAGTTCAAGGCCAGCCAGGGCTACTTGGTGAGACCCTATCTCAAAAAAACAAACAAAAACCCAAATAACTCTTTCTTATTCAATGAGAGCCAAAATATAGCCTTGACTTAGAGAAACAGTCACTCTGAACCCACATTCACACCCACAGATACAAGTGTACATGCGCGCATGCACACAGGCACACAGAGCGGAGGGGCAGAGAGGCAGAAGGGGCCTATCATTGCCTTTGAAATGGCACCTGTCTTAACCCCCATCTTCACAGGTGGAGGGAATTTGGGGTAGAGCGCTGTAGGTTCGTTAGTCCCACTTGGTTTTCTCTGAGCTAGGTTGAATTACACAGTGCCCATTGGGGGGCTCTTCCTTGCTTGGGTTTCTCACTCAGCACCTGGATCAGCTCAAATTGCCCTGGAGATCCATTCTTCACACTGAAAAGGCGGCTGACACTGACTGACTCTTACAGTTTGGGTGACTTGTGGTTTCTCTCACCATATAGATAGCTGAGTTTCCCATTTCTTTTTTATTCTGACGGGATTTGGTGGAACGTATCACAATGAGCTTTGTATAATACCCTTTGTCTGTAGGGATTTGTTTCCCAACACTGTAAGCTGCTCTTTATACCCCCAAGTGCCATTTGTGAGCTGTGTTTACTGTGGGATAGGCTTTTGAGTCTTTGTTAGGGACTCCACTGGCGATGGCATTTAGAACACTCACTCCGCTTACTCCAAAGACACAAATCAGCCCAGGAGCACCTGCTCCAGACGCCACCATGACCCTGAGACTCCATCCCAGTAACTTCTCTACATTTTAGTGTTCCCATCTCTAATGTGGTTCCGACTTTAAATATGTCATCGGGCTATTTCTGTAGGCTTTACTGGGAACTTTCAGCGAATTTCTTATATGGAAGCATACACCTTTAAATCAATATTATGTCTTGTTAGCATTGAGATGATGCTAACTACTGTTTCCCCTTTGCTTTCAGTTCCGTCAGCACCGTGTCTCACGTGGATGAGCCCAGCCCGCGTGATGAAGCCTCTCGCCTCACAGTTCGCATGGAAAACACCTACCAGCTAGGTGTGCTGTTCATGTGCTAAACTTCTAATTCAGTGGCCTATGCCACTTTAGCCGGAGTCTGGTATAGGTCTTCAGGCCTAGATAAGTGACCTTAATTTGAGAGAGTTGGTGGTACATTAGAGTTACAGTCTTGCTTTCTAAAATCGAAGCAACACTTTCTGTAAGATTCAAAACAGAATCGAAAACAAAAAGTGGGCTTTCCTAAACCTCAAATGAATCTCTGAATGCCATAAATGTATATAATAGAATAATATACGATTCAGTTCAAGCTCACTGAGTATTCCCGGATGGAATACGCACGTGAGTATGAAAGTGATGTACGCTGATGTTTATCCTTCAAAACCAACCGATGTTGTTGACTGTGGAGGATAAGAAATACCTCCGTGCAGAGGCAGACGACTGTGGTCCCCTGTTGACGGAGATGTTTATCTACTGCCATTGAGGTTTGGGGTCTTTGAAAACCAAGATTGTCACAGCTGCCCTATGCTCCCAGGTGGAGTCCCCAACAAGTGTCTTTTCCCACTCTCGTTTCTTCACAGACCTACTTGTTTGCTTTAAGGGTGTGTCTGCCTGTGATTATCTGAATTCATACATAATTACCGCCCTGCATAAATTCCATAGAGACTTACCAAGGAGCAAGAAAGGACTCTGTGGGCCAGGGTAATTCCACCTGTGGCCTGGTAGCCCCAGGAAAATTATAACCCATCACTCTACCCGGCTAGGCTTTATAGCCAGTTTTCTTCAATAGTTCCAATACTATCGGAGTGAGTAACTCAGCTGTCCCTTTCATCCCTCTCCTCGGCCACACTCTTAGTTCATTTTGAGAAGCTGTAATTACTTAGACAAAAGGAGGACAAACACTCTGTAACTTTAGATGCATCTACACGATGGCAATGTCGTTGTGCTGGCTGACACCCCCACTCCAATTCTGCAGGCTCCAGCATTAATCCGGTAGTATTTCACACTGCTCGCGGTGGACAGTAAATGTTCCTACCATCCAGATCACTTTAGTGGCGTACCTAACTCCAAATACTGGCCCTTAGCCCTTTCAGTCAGCAACCTGAGTTTGGATCAAGTTTTCTCCAACTTGCAACTAAAGCTTCTATCTTTTGTTTTGTTTTGGGAGGTGTTTGGTTTGGTTTGGTTTGGTTTTATGAGATGGGTTTTCTCTGTTTATCTCTGGCTGTCCTGGAACTTGTCCTATAGACCAGGGTGTCCTCAGACTCGGGGAACTATATCTCTGCCTCCTGAGTGTTGGGACTAAAGGTGTGGTCCACCATCGCCTGGTTTATCAACCAGAGGTTCTTAATCACGGTAGTCTGTGACTTTGAGTCACTGTGTGCTGAAGAAAAGTCTGGAATGCCTTTGCAACAAAGTAAAGCAGTTTAAATGGAAATGCCTATATTTCTTTGATTTTTTTTGTTTGTTTGGGTTTTTTGTTTTTGTTTGTTATACAACTTCTTCAGCCAAACAAAAGTTTCAGAAGTGCTGACCTTCCAGTAAAGGTGACCAGCTGTCACTCTTAGCCCCATTCTTCTGGCCAGAACTCCATCAAATTGATAGAAGATCTTTACTAAAGGCCCATGAGTATGATTCACGGCAAAATAAACCCAAAAGAAAGTACAATTGGGAATACAGTTTAATTGTTAGTAGAGCGGACTGGCTGCTTTGGAAAGTGGATTTAATCTAGCGCAGAAGACTTTCATCGTCGAGGCTGGAGAGGTGGCTCAGTGGCTAAGAGGTCACCACCACCGCTATCATTGTCCACGTCATCTAAACACATCTTAAGTTACGGTGTGTTTGTCCTTTTATGGAAATGATTACAGCTGTCATGAATGAAGTAAAACATGAATATAGTCCACGAGGGGAAAAAAGAATAGGAAAGGGAAGCTGTGCTTCTTAGAGAAAGCACCACTTACCTTTGCTCCCTAACCGCAGAGAGGAGAGAGTGGAAGAAAATCACAGGCTGCAGCGGCTGACCTGAGCTTGAACGCAGGTTTCAAGGATGCCCCGGAAGGTGATAGTTAAGCAAAACATTCTGGGATCTTGGCTGCTTTGTGCATAAATCACATGATGGTCTGCTTCCCATTCACTAAAACTGTTGCTAAAAGGGACGGCTAGGGCCTTCCCAGGGAAAGCTAAGCATGAAGACCTCTTGTTTGATTCAATGTGACTCCCACAAATTATGGACTAGGTTTTGTACCCGGCTTTTGCAGGTGCTCAGGTTAAAAGTAGATAGCAGATTTTTTAGAGGGGGCGACTATGAGTATCACAATGAAGAGCTCTCAGTTTCTTTTTTATGACAGGATACTGGACGAAAACACTGTAAGAAAGAAAGGGTTTGGTTGGCCCGTGGTTTAAGGGTCCAGTTCATGATGAGGAAGCAGTAGGGGGCTGCTTGCTCACATCTGGGCAGATCAGGTAGAAAAAGAGGTAACTACGGGTGCTCTGGCGGATCTTTACTGTTCCCCTTTTTATTAAGTCTGGGACAGTAGCCAATGGGATGGTGCCATTCATTCAGCTGGCCATCTTCTTCCCTCTGTTCACCTCCTCCGGGGAACACCTTCAGAGACAAGTCTAGAGATGCGCTTACCTGGTGAGCCCAAACCCAGGAAAGTTGGCACTGAAGAGTACTTGCCACAGTAGCCAACTTTTCCACCACACACAGAGACAGCAAATGAAGCCAACATAATGGAAAATATTGATTGGTGAGGGAAGGAGGAGGCGGGTGAGAATGAGGGAGAGAGAGGGAAGTAGGAAGGAAGAGAGGAAGGGAGAGAAAGAGGGAAAGAAAAACTCTTGGGCTCAGCTTCTGTGAGGTTCTCAAACCTCTGGTAACAAGTTTTCTCTGCAGCAACCTGTTAATCTCTCAGGGTCCTTCCTGTGTAGGGCCATCAAGTCTCCTTCTTATATCCTCTGCCATCTTCCAGCCTTCACGTCCTGACAAATCCTCTTTTACCTCATTCAGGAAACAACAACCTCAACCACTACCTAAGCAGTGCTTTATGACTTGGTATGCCCTGTCCTAGCTATTTGAAATCTCTTTTATCTCCTTAAGTCCTAGCACAAGATAATGTAAAGTAACTCTTGGTTTTGTTTTGGTCTGAGATAGCTCAGGCTGGCCTCAGACTCACTCCATTACCAAGGGCACCTCAAAGTCCTGATTCTCCAGCCTGTACCTCCCAAGTATGGGATGACAGGCTTGTGCCACCCACGCCAAACTTAGAGTAATTCTTGTTATCCCAGTTGGGGGAAGTTGTGGGGCAGTCTGTTGCTTTCGTTATTCTCCCTTGAATCTAGTTTTTTTGTTGTTTGTTTGTTTATTTTTTAAGTTATGTTCTCTTTTTTTAGATCTTTTGAAATCTAAAACCTTTTCCTCAAGGGAAAAAATTGCCTCAAAATGAAGAGGACAGGGTTTGTTGATTGCATTCATTCTCACTGAAAGTAGCTTGGGGCATTTGTCTTGCTCTGTCCCTTTGTGTGTCAGGGGCTCCATCTGAGCACAGTGACAGAGGATTCTGGACATAAAGGGAAAAGACCATTAGGTTATAAAGAATGAGTTTTCGTTACTGTGTAGAAAAATGGTCTTAAAGGTGGAATCGTGTTTGTGAGCTAAAAGGATGTGCCGTGCTCAGAAAGGACTTGGTGCAGCAGCCCCTGAGAGCATCACAGATGCTCTTTCTTTGGCTGATGCGTGCCAACTTCCTTCTCCCACTGTTGCCTTCCTTCCAGCCTGGAGGTGCCCTATGGCGGTTCCTAGAGGTTAGAAATCATCGCTTTGCTACAAGCAAGACGCTGGTTTGTTTTTACGCCTACCTCTGCTATGAAATAAAACGTTTAAGAAAGTGCTTTGGCCAGGCCTACAGCTCTGTCAACCCCGAGCCAATCACCTATGCTCCGCACTTGGGCTCACAGGTGGCAGTGATAGAGCTTCCTGCTCCATGACTACAAGGGGGAGAGGATGCATTTAGAGGGGCAGATGCTGCTTCCATTGGGGGGGGGGGCACTGTGCTGACCAATATATCTGCATTCGAAGAATTTTCTATTTTCTGAATGCAGCAGTGAGGACAGGTAGGTTAATGCAAGGCAGCGCAGGTTCCCTGGGAATAATACTGGTCAAGGAAGATCATATGAGATGAGTGCTTGGCAGGAGGCGTGGGAATGAAAAAGGAAGGATGGGGTATCTCTCTGGATGACATAATCCATTTAATTTTGTGCGGATTAGGGCTACAATTCTTTTCTTTCTTTTCTTTTTTTTTTTTTTTTTTTTTTTTTTTTTTTTTTTTTTTTTTGGTTTTTCAAGACAAGGTTTCTCTGTGTAACTTTGTTGCCTGTCCTGGAACTAGCTCTTGTAGACCAGGCTGACTGCAAACTCACAGAGATCTGCCTGCCTCTGCCTCCTAGGTGCTGGGATTAAAGGCATGCACCACCATGTCTGGCTTTCCTGCCTGAATTAAATTGAACTAAACAATTCTTATATCATCAAAATAAACGTTCTCTTTAATGAGCCTCAGGAGACTGACCTCAATGGACTATAGTCGTAGCCCTAGACTTCTCTCGAGTAAAGCCAAGGAACTTCAGGAGGAATGAAAGCCGTGTGAGACCTGGGGATTTACCTCCCTGGTGCCTCATCTCAGACTGCTTACAACTCTCAGCCAAGGGACGTAGTGCTCTTAAGGGAGTCGTCTCCACACAACCCTCCTGGGGATCTAATCTGAGCTCCCTGCTGGATTGCTCAGGCCTGGGGTAGCATGTTTCCACTAGTAGAGAAGAATGACCCTATCGCTTGTGACTTCCCTGTCTCTCTCAGATGTCCCAGAAGAGAACCTTCATTAAATTCATTTGGAATTGTCCTAACTCTGGTATACCTTTTCCCCTTATGTTTCCTGACATAGGAACATGAATAAATACCAACAAATAATGTTAACTACTAAAAGAGGATTGGATAGCGTTCTTGATTCAAACTCTTCCTCCTTATTATCAACAATAATCCAGCCTTATTATCAACAATAATCCAGGCTCTACCTACCAAGCCAGAGCACATATGTATGTCACGTAGTTGTCTGGGCAGAAACCAGAAGGATAATCTACGTAATTCCTGGAACACCAGGGTGAAACTCACTTATCCGAAGCTTTGATCCGAATATGGCTGAAATGTGGTTGCGAATATAAATTTTAAACCCCGATAAATCTGGGCATTCATTCCTAGTTCTGTGCCTCTGGGATTCTGGGCTTCCACCTCTATTTTCCCATCTGCGGGACAGATATAACTGTGAGAGTCCCTTCAAAGAGCTCTGGAAGATGTCATACGGTTAACCCATGCTTGTCACAGTCCCTGACACAGAGAATGTGGTCATCAAATAGTAACCGTTATTTGTGCAGTGATTATTATCTAGAAAATGTTTACGTCCACTAAAACTAAAAATTATCCCTAAGTATTGAGTTAGACTCTCAGGGGGATAAATCCTGTCTTGCTTACATTTCTTTTAAATTTTTGAACAGTTTATTATTTTTATTACATCGATTCCTGTGTATATATTTATGTACACAAACACACAACCGTGTGGCAGGTAGTCACGTGGGGAGGCCAGCAGACGTTTGGAAGTAGGTTCTTTCTTTCCACCTTGTGAGTCTCAGAGATTAAACTCAAACCGTCAGACTTGTCCGCAAGCACCACACCTTCTAAGCCATCTCCCTGGCCCCGATCTGGCCTGTTTCCCTTCGAGAGAATTGCAGGTATGCCTTACCTGCTTTCAGGAGGATTAGGATCCAGGCGACCCGTGTGTCTGGAATAAATGAGAGATGTTTGGTACCTCTGGTGAGAAACCAGCTATTTCTTAACTGAGCAGATGGGGGATGGTGGTCCATTTGGAAGAATGGACGAGGGTAAAGACACATGAGCATCTCTCCATGACAGATGGAGCCCACTAGGCGGGAACAGCATGCACATGGGGAGCTATGGGGGCTGGAACAAGGGCATGGGACCAGGAGGCACACAACTGTAGACCCCATAAGGAAAATGTCATCTTAAGATCTGGGTTTTTCCAAGCAAGTTCTCTGGCTGTGGATGATGGACCAGAGCGATGTGGGTGAGGTGTAAACACTTAGGGGCTGGTTAGAAGGTGTTGAGGCTTTGAAGTAAGCAGCCACCAGCACTGGCAATTGATGAGGAAGAGCTTGCGGTGTGAGGCGCAACAGAACTTACTGCGCACTCCTTAGGGGACCTGGTAAATTCAGAGCTCACTATCCCCTCAGTCTCTCAGAAAAGCCTGGCCTGAATTCAGACCTCTAACCTCCTTAGCTGGACTTCACCCAGGTTACTAAAGGCCTTCGTGTTTCAGTATTCTTTTGTGAACCCATCGGGTAGATGGATATGGTTAGAAATGACTTCTAAAGAAATTCCATGTCTATGTCCAGGTCCCACCAGGCATTTTCCTGTGGCCGCTGTCAATTGCATTTTGAAAGATGTACTAACTGCCTACCTACAAGAAGCAGAATATGACCCAGAGTTCTGCAGACAGATGACTAAGACAGTTTCGGAGGTACAGTGAACTTGGCCCAGTGTTCGCTAGAACCACAGTATTTCCTTTCTTCTTTGTGCTGAAGGGATTGGATTTGAGATCAGTCAAATGGTATACTTCGATTTTATGAAAATAGGTATTAGATCACACACTACATATGCAAATAGGTACATGTGTATGTGGTAAGCTTTTGTCTAAAACCATCATTATGTATGAAATTTGTAGCAAATTTATTGCTGTACAAAACTGTTTCACTTGTTTTTTTTTAAATTGTATTTTAATTTATTTGTGTGTGTGTTTAAGAGAAAGACAGGGAGAGAGAGAGAGAGAGAGAGAGAGAGAGAGAGAGAGAGAGAGAGGGAGAGAGAGGTGTGTGTGTGTGTGCAAAGGTTGAAGGGACAGAAGAGGGCTTCAGATCTCCTAGAGCTGAAGCTACAAGCAGTTAGAACTGCCTGGTATGAGTGCTGGGAACCAAACTGCAAGAGCAGAAAGTGCTCTTAACTGCAGAGCCATCTCTCCAGCTCCATGCCACTTAAAAATAAAAAATCATCCTGTATGTTTGTATGATGTGTATGTATGGTATGTGTGCATGTTTGCCTGTGTGACTTTGGGCATGGACATGTCACTGCACACAGAGAGCTCAGAGGACAATCTTGGGTGTAAGTCTTCACTTCCCACCTTGTTTGAGAAAAGGCCTTTCTGTTGTTCAGCACAGCATAAGACGAGTCAGCCAGGATGGTCCTGTCTCTGCCCCCATGTCCCTGTAGCTATGCTGTAATCCTCAATGCCCACTGCTATACCTGAATTTCGCTTGGGTCTTGGGGACTTGAACTCAGGTCCTTATACTTGTACAAGTGCTTCACCATTGAGCCCTCACCTCAACCAAAAACCATCTCACTTTTAGAACTTATTTTTGGAAAATACACATGTTTACAACGGTGTCTCCTTGCCACAGCAACTTCTTTGAATGCTATCAATTATACATATTGTGGTCTTTAACTATATTTCTAGTTTTATCAACTACAGTGCATTTTATGATAGTTTCTTCTGCTTCCGTTTTTATAACAAACTCTGGTTATAAAAATGCTCAATTCAGTTATGTTACAGGAGATTTCACAGTATGTTTCCCTCACTAGATCTGAAAACACAAAGTAACCCTGGTTACAACGTTCCTTAAAGAGAGGCCATCTTTTAGTATCTATACTAAAAGCATGTGACAGTCCCTTGAATTCAGTTCAACGGATGCCTAGCTTCCTGTATATCTCAGAAAAGGTCAGCTTATCACTAATGTTGTCATTTTGTTTCTGACTTCCTGGTCCCATGAGGACGGTACTTGAAAGAAAGTTAACTTACGGTTCTGTGAGATATGGAAAGTGTCTACAATGCACCATGCTGTTTGCTTTAAACAATGTTTCTTTCACGTTTTTAAAGTTAGCCTACCTACAAAGTGATGAGCGTCATTATGGCTTTTTCACACACGTGTGTCATCACACTCCCCTCTCCCATCGTGCTCCCCGTCCTCCTTGCCTTCCTCCTCTTGGTCCCCTCCATCCTTCCCAAAGTATCCTTTTATGTTAAACAATTTTGAAAGTTTATGTGACTAAACACCCCCTTTTCTTCTTTCTTCTTTTTTCTTTTTCTTTCTTTCTTTCTTTCTTTCTTTCTTTCTTCCTTCCTTTCTTTCTTTCTTTCTTTTTAAACAATTTCTAGGTTATTAAAGCCAAGGTCAAAGAATTGATGATTCCCCGGTATAAACTAATTGTGACCGTTTACATAGGACAACAAGATGGTCAGAGCATCCTTATCGGCAGCAGATGCCTCTGGAATCCTAAAAGTGATACCGTTTCATCCTACGCACTCAGAAATTCTACTCTCTTTGCTCTGGCAAATGTCTATGCGGTTTACTTTGAGTGACCGACACGAGGCTTGCATTCCTGGTGTTTTCAAATCGTGAAGCAGGCTGTCAGTCTCTCTCCACGAAAGTTCTGCTAGCAACACCTGTGAGAAGGAAACAAGATGAACAACTGAAACAGCTGGAAGCTTCCATCACTCCTGCGAGGACTGGTGAGGGGAGGGCAGCCCAAGAAAGAACCTTGTTTCTCCAAAACCGCAGTTGAGTGTGGTTCACATAAACATGGATGTTGACTATTACTTTGGCTACTAATTCTTTTGACTTCTCTTTTAGTTGGAGAGATAGAATTCTCTAGATTGCTTTTTTGATAAATTTCTAGAAATATATGGTGACATTCTGGGTATATATCATATAGGACAGGATAATTTAACATGGCACACAAAAAAATGATGAATATTAATATACTTCAGTACTGCATATAAAATAATATGGTTTTCATTTTACATTTAATAAATTGAGCAGCGTTCATTAACTGCAATTACGGTTACATGTACCTGACAGTTGAAAGTGCCGAGGAAGAATTAATGATTTCATAATAATTACCATAGTCCCACGGGGCCACAAACTAAATCTAGACACTCTTGTGGGTTGCCTGCACTTTACAAAATTGCAGGAGAACCGAACATTGGCTCTTCAATAATGGAAACTATAAAGTGGAATGCAGGCTTTTAAGGACACTAAAGTAGACATTATGCTATTAAATATACATGATGCTTAATAGTAAATGTGTCTGGAGTGCCTAAGATCATGCATTGGAAAGAGACACTACCCTTAAATACACACTGCTCATGTGACTCTGAGTACCTTTTTCTGGCCTAACCTTTACCCAGGATTCAAAGCTGGCAGCTTAACAACTAAACCATGTGTGTTTGCCATTTTGTTCCTATGAATCTAGCACGGAAGTGAGCCACTGGGGTTTCTGAATGTATGGGCATTGACGTTTACAGGGCTGCAATAGCTCTTCTGCCAGCTAATGCCCCTTGTAGCACGGATCGTTTATTTTTATGGCGCTTTCAAGTCTTTGTGTGCATGAGAAATGACGCTGTGGCCTCGCTCCGGGATGGTAAGTCATCTGCCTAGAGGACATTTGTTAAAGGTCAGACACAAATTGCTCACATATGGAGAGAATTAGCAGCGTTGCCCCCTTAAGGGGGAAATTACGTGTAATTCGTATCAGAAAGATTTTAACGAATGGAAAACCCAGTCAATGTGTCACAATTTGAAAATGTTTTGATGTCTTCTTTTTCCCCTAAAACCAAATGTAGCTTTAAAATGCATTCCTAGGCTTGTTCTGATGATGCTTTAGTGCGGGGTCTATATAGAATAATGACCACCAGGACTTGCCTGTCTGCAAACACCAGTTTGGAATCTGGATTTGATTATGTTTCTTTCTCAGTCAAAGGCCATGAAATCACACGGCAGCTTGGTACGAATGAGTCAAACAAAGAAACAGCTCGGCCATATAGAAAGTCTGCTGCCAACAGGACTTCCTTTCAGGGTTCTAATTTCTCGTTATTACAATAATTTCTCACCGCCCATTCCAGGTTGTTTAGGCAATTAAAACCTTAAACGACAAAGGCCGTTAAAAAAAAAAAAAAAAAAAAAAAGAACAGGTGGTTTGCAGGCCTCTTGCCGTGTGTTGTAACTGAGGTCAGGGCAGTGATGGCCTCTAGCAGTCACGGCAGCCCAGGAGAACAGGGCAAGAACTCGCCCAGAATAACTAATTTTCAGGGGAGCGTTAGTCACCACGCAAAGCCTCAGGATGGGAAAGTTTCAAAGAAACACCACTGTAAGTTTGAAGAAGTTGTTTTCTTTTGAAACAGCCAAGCTTCCCCTCTGTGAATGACGGCCTTCCAACTCACTCACAACAGGACCCCCTGTCTTCTTTTCGGCAAGCACAGTGCTCACCTTCCCCCAGGTCCTTCTCTGTCCATCTCCTTCCATCCACTCCCCTCCTGGACCACTCTGTTAATCTCTTGACTAGTCTCCAGTTTTTACAGTCTTTTTTTTCTCTCCTTTCCTGTTTGAAGATAACAGAGTGCCCAGACCACCTAACAGTGACGTCTTATTCTTTACCTATAAGCAAGACTCCTATGCACTGTGCTACCTAACTCCCAACTGTGCAGAAAATAGCAATGCGCAGCTCAACGAGAGTCCCACAACATGACGACAGGATGCATCTGTAGCCCCAGAACTCCCGAAGTGGAGACAGGAAGATTACCGTGTGATTACAACATGTTATCACAAGAAAGTTCCGGAACTTCTTTACCCAATGAAGGAACCTGATTAGGGAAGGCTTTGTGAAAGGAAATGACGGCTTCCTCCAGACTGTGATGGGGACGAGGAGAATGTCAAAAGATGGAAGGAAGGCTTGAGGAAGAAATTTACCAGGGATAAGAGGTCGCACAAAGATCACAGGGTGCAGGGCAGCTATCTGGTAAGGAAGAACACTCGAACTACAAGGAGCCATTAGCAGCTTTTCTCTAAGTGCTGCATAGCATTAGGAAGCTATGTCATATGGGACGTTGCAGGAACAAGGGCTATGTGATTAGGAGGCTAAAGCAATGCACAGAGTGGTTGAAGTTTCAAGTCCTGGGTGCCTGGATGGCTTAGGTCTTAACTCAATTGTCCCAGGCACCTTAAACACATTACCGGTTTTACAAAGCAGCAGTATTTCCTTGACGCAGTAATGACAATGCCGGTGCCACGGCAGGCACAGGGTTTTGTAAAATTAACGCATGCTTGCGGAACGGCTCACAGTTTAATGTCCAAGAGAAGGGCTTGTGGTCGCAGCAGAAAGCCTGAGCGCCTAGAGCAAAATGCATGGTCCTGTCCGCAGGAATAAGACATCAGGGGCAAGAGGTGGAGACGTAAAACACTGAGTTTGAGTCTGCATGCCAGGTTAAGTTGATCATGGGACATTTCGGCCACAGGCAGCTGAAAGCTGAGCCAGGACGTCAAGGGAAGAGATTTAGACTTGGCAGCCATCCAAAATGAGAGCTCACTTCTCCCTTCTGCCTTATAAAATATACATCAGCCAGCAAGTATAATCAGTACTAAACAGCCAATAACCGGCTCTAGAAACCCAGCCAGAAACCACCTCCCAAACCAATGGGGTTCTGTCAGTTATACACTGCCTTCCTGCCTTCCTTCTTCCTCTCTTTCAATCTTTCTTTCTTTCTTTTCTTTTTTCTTCATTAAGACAGTTTCCTATATTATTCCTTTCTGTTGTCAGAAATCAGGAAATGTAAAGTTTCTCTTAAAAAATAAGCCAGCATCTCAGTGTGTCTTGTTGCCTGCGGTCACAACTAATTGGGAGACCTCAGAAAGCACATAGTAGGAAGTGAGAGACAACATATTCAGAACATAGTAGGAGGTCAGAGTCCAACAGCTCGTAGGTTCAGAAATGAAACACTAAAAAGTTTCATTTTCACTAAAAATGAAATCAGTGAATTCATTTTTTAAGTCTGGAGAATTGGTGTATGGAAGTCAATATTTTTTTTTAAATTTCAATAAATCAGACATTTATAACTTAACAGTCTTAACGAATGAGCACTTTCCCTCTTGGGAGCATCAATTGACCTGTCTTTCTGGGAGCTATAAAAAATAGGTAAGAAAACTCAACATCAAACGGTTCTTTCATTTTCTTCTTCCTGAGTCTCTCTGAAGTTCTCACAGTCAGCAGTCTGGTTCTCACCCACCAGTCTGGGGCTTTCATGAAGGCTGAAAGTGCTCTCCCAAGCTGGATGTGCAGACGGCTCCACCTGCGTGGCATCTCAGGGCTTTCCAAGTCCTGTCTGCTGAGGGGCAAAGAGACAGTTCTCTCTCTCTCCCTCTCCCTCTACCTCTCCCTCTCCCTCTACCTCTCCCTCTTCCTCACTCCTTGCTTCCCTCCCCCTCCCTGCCCCTCCCTCTCCTTTTCAAGCATAGGTTTGAAGATCTATGACTTCTAACACTTAACAGTTAGGCACCAAACTATTAGCAAGCATCTAACACCTTCAGCCTGTTTCCTGAAAAATAAAATAGGCCACGATTGTGTTCTCATGAAGACTGGACAGACGGTGTATATAAAACAGCCAACCCAGAGCTGAAGACATAGCTCAATGGTTAAGAGTGTTGCCTACTCCACACTCCAGATGACCTGACTTTGATTCCCAGTATACCCATGGCAGATAACAACTGTCTGTAACCACAGTTCTCAGGGATCCAGAGCCACCTTCTGGTATCCTTGGATACCAGGCACCCATGGTGCACAGACACACATACAAGCAAAATACGTAAAACATTTTTTTAATTTTTAACAAAAAAGATAGTTGAGTCAATCCCGGTGTCATAGGGCACACCTGTAATCCCAAAATTTGGGAGGTAGAGGCAGGAGGATTGGGAATTCAAAACCAGCCTCAGTTATACCAGAATTTGAAACCAACTGGGCTATGTAAGACCCTTCCTCAAATAGTAGTAGTAGTAATAGTAAAATAATAATAATAATAATAATAATAATAATAATAGATAGAGATAGTGATAATAATTGAGCAAATAAAAAAATCTATCTTATTAAAAAACTTCCTCTCGATCTCTAATTATTACAATATGTGTTTCCTAAAGCAGATCTGGGTGTGTTGGACAAGCCTCTAACCCCAGTACTCTAGGACTGAGGCTGGAGAATCTGGAGTCCCAGGCTAGCTTTAGCTACATAATTAGACCCTGTCTCAAAGCACCAAGGGCTGGGGATATCGCCAGTTACTGTAGAACACTTGTTTAGTAAGCCCAAGGCCCGGAGTTTAATACTTTGCACTGTAAAGAGGAAAAAGAAAGAAAGGTGGGATTGAGCAGATTTTTTGTTTGACGTTTCTTCTCATGACTATAATATACCCATTTCCCCAAATTTTCAAACTACCATCTTTGAATGATAGTTTTTCAAAGCCACACTCTTCAAGACATTATCTGTTCCCAACTTCTGCCTCCACTGTGGCTCTCTCGTTGTGCCATGCAGACAGCTGGAGCTTGCATCAGGACCGTTCCTGGTTCTTGACAGCGATGCTGAGGGCTGCCCACTCCTTGCTGCCTTCAATCCCATTTGGATTTGTGAGTTCATTCACAAATGAGCACAAACCTCCAGAGGGTGAACTGAGACCTAAGTATGCTGAAAATCTAAGTCTGCAGTAGCTTTCAGCTTCTCTCCTTGGCACCGCAACTGTGCTATACTCGTTATTCCTTTAAATGCAGGCTCTAACTTGAA